CCAGGCTTTCCAGAGATCTTTCATAGTTTTAATGAATAATTTCAGCATAAATAAGGCACCTCACGCAAGAGATGGACCCAGGTATTATCAACAAATAACAGAAAACTTTTCAAAGAATAAATACATAAATGAACTGATAAATAAATACATGAATTAAATTGTCTCTTTAGGCTCTTTGTTACTAGCAGGCTGTCACAAAAACACATCTCAGCATGGTGTGTAGTGTGTTCTTAAAAAGTTTGAGGAAACTGCACAAGAAGAAGACTATTTGAACACATGAACAGTATCGGAAAGTCAAAATTCCACCAAAGACCTGACACATGACCCGAGAGATTCATTTGATCTTTCAGTTGATCCATCTACTGTTTACTGATTACTCATCAGAATTGGTCTCAATGAAAGGTTTGTTGCCAAGATGCCATTCATAAGGAAGAACATGATGAACACGATGAACCTATTGGTTAAAATAGTCAGTAGGTACAACAGTGAGTTTCTATAGCCATCTGTAAAACTTCTTAGAGGCTCCATCTTTGTTTGAGGCTAAATTTTTTCTTATTTCTTATTTAGCTGGTTGTCGGTTCTTGTGTATTATGGACAGAAAAGTATCTTAGCATTTTGATCCACAATGCCATAGCATCTGGAAAGCATTTGATTGGCAATGGCTTCCTTATCCAAAATGAAAACTATCCCAAACACAATGCCAATGCAATAAAAGCATAACAAAATAGAAAAACACACAATGAAACCCAATCAATCAGGGATTGGCCTCCCCAGAGTCCAGACCTCAACTTTATTGAAGCAATGTAGGATCATCTTGACAGAGATTAGAGCAAAAGGCAGCCAACATCAAAAGAGGAGCTTTGACTGTTCTTCAAGAAGCCTGGAGAACTATTCCTGAACACTACTGAAAGAAAGGTTGCCTTAGAGTTTAGGCTGTGTTGAAGAATAAAGGTGGGCATACCAAATGTTGACTTAGAATTGTACAAACTCAGTTTTTGTTTTTTATACTATATGTTTGCACACATTTCAGTAAATCATTGTACATATTTCCCAAATGAGGGGTGGCTTAAGACTTTTCCTCAGTACTGTACAATTTCAACATGATGATTACTAAAATATTAAGAAAAAAAAAGAAAAATACTGCCTTTTGATTTTTTGATGTGACTGGTTCGATCCTATGTAAAGCAGCTACGCAAACACGTTCTGCTGCTGCTCTGTGCGATGGACTTTCTTCGGCACTTTAAAATTCAATAATCAATCAAAAGACAAAAGGCAGTGGCCACGTAATAATTAATTGGCTCTAAAATAGTTTTTTGTATTGTTAATATTAATGGCTCATTTGAATTTAAATTTAATCAATCAAATTACCTTTTCAAGATATTAATGAGTAAAATTACACATAGTAAATGCTTTCTTTTTAATTATTCCACTGGGACAAAGGTTTCCAGACTTTTTATTCAAAGTGCTATAATTAAAAGTGATAAGGTATACCAGCAGGTCCTGCGTCCAGGTCACGCTGTGTACCGCAGACAGACACAGAGTAACAGAGATGAGGCGCAGCACTGACTTCCAGATCAAAGAGGCCCTGCATTTGGCCTCTGTTGGCCCATCTGGGTCCTTCTGTTTCTATGAGGACAGTCATTAGACAGGTCAGTAGCTGAGTATAGGCTTGCTATATTGCTGTGGGCTGGGGGAGGCTCACTACAGGAGCTGCTTATAGTAACACTATTTGGATCTTTGAGGGTGCTGTGAATATTAAGGTGAGGAGTACACTTCCATCATGTCATGTGACTACTGTCTATAAATATTTGCAACAATATAAATGCTGTCACACTAGTTTGGCTTTTTAATTTTCATTAAGTTTAAAAAAAGAGGTAAAATTATGCGCTATCTATAATTTTGTACTACTTCAGTGGTACAATAGTGACACTAGAGGACCATTTCAACAATGAATGTTTATAACACTGTACTGCAATAAAGGCTTCAGTTAAACAAATACTTTAATCAATCATTTGTTTCATTCAAATGTCCTAAAGTTTTCTATTTGTATTTCCATTTTTCTCTTATAATTAACACTCAATGATATTCTCAAGTTATTTGCTTTTGTTAAAAGAACCTTGGAGACATTAACAGGAGCATTAATGCAAGTGTTAAAGATCATTATATATGATAATTCTTTGCCAAGCTTCTCACTATATAGCAGCCAAGGCAGGTAAGCAGGTAAGAAAATAAATAGATGGATAGATTTGTAATTGTATAATTATAAATGCTTCTATTAATATGCATCAAGGTGTCTTTTAAATCTAAACTAAAATGTGAAGATTAATACAATTTGACCAATGTGTCAGTAGGCCCGACATATAGCCCGAAATTATAAAAAGTATCACTCTTTATAACTGCTGATAAATTAACATTTTAAAAAATAGAGATGAGACAGGAGAAATATCCTTTAACAATGTTATGGGTGTTGATGGTCCACCAGTGCGCACTCTGCAACTTCAAGATCTCAGCTGATCTGATCAGAGTCGAGCTGAGCGTTGAGTAATCCATGATTTGCTGTGATAATAAAACAATGACAAATAACTACACAAAACAAATGTTTTGTGTGGCTAAAAGAAATATTAAAGAACATATTTACAGTATATTAGCTTTTTAAATCACCAAATATCAGTACTGATATCAGTCATTATATTCAGTTTCATTTATGGGCATAAACATAGACCTCTGAACCTCAACAACTTATCAAACTACCACTGAAGACGAATAACGCACTGCATTAATCTATGCTGATTCCAAAAACAAAAGACTTTGTCTGAAGACAGCATGCTCATGTGTGAAACAAACACCTGTAATCAGAAGGAACAACTACACAATAAGGAGAATAATTCCCATTAAGGATCAGATATCTGTGCAAATTCAATAGATGCATTTGATAAATAGCCGCGTCTATCTAACAGGGAGATAACCCCCTAGTCAATGTATCTGCTATCTGTGTTACAGATAAGAAATACACAAAAGCATGACGTATTCAAAATCACACACAAGCAAACTAACACACAGTGGAGCAAAATCCACACTGAAATATTGGCCAAGCACTTCCACATCCACAGTGAGTGATGTGACTGTATAATTGAGTATTTACATTGCAAACACTGATGAAGCTAGTTATGAACACTTTGACAAAGCATAAACAGTAATGCTGTACACATGCTAACCCCCCCCAGAGAAGCTCAAGCGTGTTTCTCCTGCAGATGACAGGCTGGCATTTGGAACATGATCCCTCCCTATTTTATGGCTGACTGCACAGAGCAGCTCAGAGGCCTGCTAAGTCATAAAGATGCCAGCCAAACACTTAGATTCCTAATCAGGTCATCAGCAAAGGCTTGTAGGAACTGATGGCTACAGACACATTGCTTCCTGGTGCAGTGCTGCCTTTGTGTTTCAGACTCGAGACATTTGTCAAAATGTAAGAAATGTACCCCGAGACACTGTGCTAATGCAGATTCTGTGCAGCAACAGAAAACAAGATTTGTAATTCTGATTTTGCTGAACTGCTGTCTTTGCTTTAGAGAGCCAGGAGGAACGCTTACGGGACAATACTGCTCAGAGTTCAGACTCTCGCTCAGGTGTCATAGTCATGTCATTTTCTGTTTACTGAAATCTCTAGATGGAGAACTGCTTGGTGGTGAGAAATCACAGGTAAAAATAAAGCTGACATAACATAAGCTAGCATTTACTGCTTTAAAATTGTAAAAAATGTATATATACATATTTTGAAATCATTCTTTAGACCTTTATCTCAGTGTTTATCTTTGGGATAAACTCACAATCAATCACAACAATGTTAAAATGACTTTTTAACCTGCCATCAGGTGGCAGTCTATATTAGTCTATATTAAACTCAGAGAAAAAGAGCCTCGGTCTACTGTGTTGATGGCAACAGATATATCAAACTGCTTTCATCCATCAGACACAGAGCAACATTTACAGCTCTTGAAGACAAATTTTTCTGCAATCTGATTAACGCAAGCATACTTTTACTTTCACTGACAGCAGCAACTGATATCTGAACTAATGCGTCACATAGAGACAACAGAGGAAGACAGCCACAAAATCAGACTGGGAACTGAAAATATCTAGAAGTGGTAAAGAACTGCTAAGCTGCTGTAGGTCTTGATTCACCATATAAATAGTTTAGATGATAAATCATATGTCCAATAGGTTTATATATCATTAAAATCAACATTATAAGTTGAAGTACATTTTAGGATAGTCTATCAGGTAAAGGAAAAGTTTAACACGCTACACTTTACATTGTATACATTGTAAATTTAACCAATGGACACGTGTAATTACGTGTGATTTTCCTTTTTTCTTATACAAAACATCATTATGTAATATTTTGTACTCTTTTTTTTATGATGATGGATGGCAGCAGGCAAGGGAAACTAAAAGACTAAAGCAGGACTTTTAGCGAGGACCTAGAGACGGGAGGAAACTATGGGAAATAAGCATCTTAAAGCAGAAGAAAAAGACAGAAGATGTTAGACAAAACCTTATAATATTATTTATACGAGGAATGGTAAAGCAGACCTCATCACAGATCAGTGGTCTGTAAATATATTGTACAGATTTTTCTTGCAGATCCATATGAAACAGTTATTTGACTCAATTTTTTCCTCCTATTGAATGTTTTGTTGTTGCTTTATGGTTCAAAGGTCAAATCCTGAGTAAAATCTGCTAGGAGGCAAGCATTAAGTTTCTTTGCATGCTCAGTAAATCTACCTATATATACCTAATATACTTTTTATTTCTATTACATGTAACTTCCTGAAACAAAAATAAAATACATGGCAGCTTCTGTCTCTGAGATCAGTGCAGAAGGGAGAGGTAGGAAAAAAGGAAACTACAATAAGCAGTAAAACCAAATGTGAAGATGGAAGAAAATTAGCAAGCAGTTAAAAAAAGCTGCAGATTTCTGGACAAAGTAAAAGTGTTACCTGTCCTCCTTTAGGCTGATACTTGATATTCTCTGTGGAGCCAATCTTAGACTTGATATTCTTGAAGTCAGGGAGTGGCTGGTTGATAATACGGAGCTGCTTGGGTGTTGTTGCAGGTGACTTGGGTGGGGTACGGACCACAGCCACCTTCCTCTCCTGACAAATCAGACTGAGGGAGCGTGGGGTCCCGGGGGTCCTCGAAGATGATGAGTAACTGGGAGGAGTTCCTGGGGTGATGGCTGTTGAGCCAGGGGTGCGTGGGGTGGAGTGGCCACTGCGAGCTGAACGTGAGCGCACTGATTCTGTAACTGGTAAGATGACAAATACAGGTGATGGAGGTGGAGGTGAAGACAGGCTGCAATTCCTTTTATTCAAAATATTTTGAGTCCACAGCACAAAATTACAAAATGCTCTTAATTTATATCTAGAAATAGTAGAAATAGTCTGTAATTACCTGTCATGCTAGGAGCTCGCCCTGTCCTGTGTTCTGCCCTCATCTCAGTGCGAAATGCTGGAGAAAGGGAAAAATCAAAAGTTTTGGATTTAGTGATGGAGAATGAAGAAAAAGAGGAGTTTTAGTGCACGCTAATAGTCCAACATAACATTTTGGCTTTGTAATAAAAGTAAATTAAGTATTAATATAAAAAAACAAATGTTAAAGATGCCAGAAGACAGACAGAAATAGAGCGAGTATGCAAAAATCACTCATTAGCAGATGTCAGCTGGGACTTCTTAAAATAATCAAGCATAAGGCCTTATGAGTGTGCTTTTCACTTTCTAGAAATATTTTTCTAAAATTGATCAACAGTAGTAAAGACTGAATTAGTAGCATTTATCGCACACTGGAGGCTATCAAGAGTTTCGTTTTAGACAACCTAACGTAAACTAAATGCTGATACTTTGTACAGTTTAGGGGAACTGGACCCTACATGTGGGCCTGCGAGGAGCCGTAGAGCCAGAGCTAGTGATAGAGGTAGAGCTCTCTTCATGGTCATGGGGCCCACGGCGACTCATAAATGAGGTGTGGCGTGGCACTGAAGACCTCTTCTCTGGGCTCCGTGACCCACCATCCTGTTGGAAAGCATACAGGGAGCGCATTGTTAGGCCAGTCAGGCAGACTGAGGTTTATCTTTTTAATTCAATGTGAAACAACAGATATCGTTTGCAAGCAATATTACAAAATTAAAGCAAATAATATTCATGTTTGCATGAAAACATGTATGAAATTTCCAGGACTTGTGCAGGAACCCTGTCACTCTTCCATCCACCTACCTTAGCTATTTGTTTCTGTAATTCTGTGGAGCCCTGAGGCTCTGCTGAGGATGGACGAGGTCTATCTAGCGAGGCAGCCGCTCTGGATATGAAGGTGGGGATCTTTGTAAACGGTAAATGATGGGCATGGCACTGAGATGGTACAACAAAGAGGCGTGGTTGGTGAGGCGCATGAAAACAAAATAAAGAACACAGGATGACAAAAAGTGGTGAAAATACCACTGCTACAACATGCATCATGAATGCACATGATCTCATGAATCATGTGGAACAATTTACTATGTAATCTATTAAAGCAGCTCCTCTTGCACATTCATTTTAGTAAGAAACTGAAAACTCATGGGACATGAAAATATCAAACAAATAAACAAAACTTAAGAACGTGAGGGATACTCTTCATCATGCCCATGCAACAGCAACGGGCTACACTGCAGAGCATGGTATTAGAAGACACTTTCAGTATGCTGTGATGACATGACATTTAGGAAATATAGAAAGCATGTTCTTTTAGACACAATAACTGTCATTACCATGGCGGAGGAGTGAAATGGAGTCACGACCACAGGCACTGGAGAAATGTCACAGGTTGGTTCAACACCCACTCAGCAAAATAAACACTCCAAATGCGTCTGTCTTCACTACTTGTGCAAAAACCCATTAAAACATGCCAAGAAGAGGAAACATTTTACAAAATGTAACCACCATTAATAATTTTCTTCATGAAATATGAACAAAAAACTAATGCAACACCTGCCTGTGTTAGTGTGTAGATGGAAGGACAAAGCATTTGCGTTATCTGGATGTGATGTGTTATTGTGTTAATGTCTTTTGAGACTTTTTTTTTTTGAACTCCCCAAGTCACCCTAGGAAATAACATCATTTTAATGATTCTACTGATAATTGTTTTTTCAAAATTACCGAGATGCTTTTTGTTTCAGATCCTGCAGAAGTCAAGATGTGTATTAGCGGTTTCATATTAATAGCAAAAAAGCAAAAGTTTCAAATATGTTGCACCAAAAAAAGGTTCTGCCTGTTTATAGTGTTCAGTATCCATTGAGTTTCTCTATGCCTATAATTTAATTGTTCATTCATGCTGACTGCCAGCAGAGTTTTCTTGGAATCTCTCTCAGTGTTTTTTGTGCCAGAGGTCGTGCCATTGTTAGGTTTGTTGAGTATACTTACCGATGCTCTGTCACGAGACTGTCTGGCAACGCTGAGAGGCTGACGACTGTCAGGTAGGACCTCTGAGGGACGGAGACAGACAGACAGAGAAGTTCAGGGAAACAAAAATACTTCAGAAGAATTTGTGCGTTAACCTTAGTACATTGAAGGAGAAGGAGTTAGGGCTCTCTAAATGCCCTACTTTGGAGGATTACCCCCATATTTATATCCTTGCAAGAATATGTTCCCATTACATAAAATGTAAAAATTACAGACATCCAACTTTGCATTCTTAAATGTGGCATGGTAAGCAATATGCCAAATTCAATGTTCTATAGGAGCTGGATGTTTCTCTCTTGACAGCTTTGTTCTGCAAAGATTTGGCAAGATATCACACAGAATGGGGGATTTTGTATTATGTAAGGCAACCTTGGAAAAAAAAAAAAAATCGAATTGGGGCATTGCAGCAGTATACTGAGCTTTCCTCATCACTGACACAGAATTCAGTCCGTCAGGGGAAAATGGAGAGCAAACTGCCTCTGGGTCAGAGCAGCATTAGCAAACCTAGTAATAAGTTAAAGGGTGGCTGTCACTTAGCAAAGTCTGTCTACCATCCGGAAGGTCAGTGGTTCAATCTCTGGTACCTCTGGTCTTCATATTGACGTGTCCTTGGGCAAGATGCTGAGGCCCCCATATTCCCCCCGATGCATTGATCGTAGTGACAGTGTGCGTGTAATAGAAAATGCTTCAAGGCATAGACTATATTAAAGTAGCTTGTAGTAAAAAGTGCTTTCAGTACTCAGAGTGGAAAAGTGCTTTTAGCACCACGGAGAAGATACCACAAGTTGGAAATGGCTAAACTGGATATGTAATTTAAAAGACCATCGAGGTTGTGAAGGTCTATAGTTTCTTTACTGACAAGATTCATTATTGTGACAAGTCAGCTGGACACCAGCAGCTGACAGAGAACCTAGATACAAACTGCAAAAAAAGATTTTATGAAGGAAAGATGTATTCATAAAGAATAACATCTTTATGAATGTGTTAGGAATTAAAGTATTATTTAAGTTAACAATACTGTAGTTAAGGGAAGTGTGCTGTGCCTTCTTAGACACATGTATATATGAGCATAGGTGTAAGCACAAACAAATACTTAAAACAGAGAACACAAGTGAGACAGTATTTGTTAGCTCGGAGAACGAACAAAAAACACAAAAAAAGCAAAAAAATACACAAATGAATCCAAAGAAAATATTAATGAAAGTCAATCTTTATTATGATGAAACACAAAATAAATGCATTTGAAAACAAATGACTAACAAAACTAATAACATTAAACAACCAATAAAACAAAAATGAAGCGGAGGCGAGACAGGGAATGCTGTTGCGGTGACTGTCCTGCAGCAAGCACCAGCTGTGTGACAGACCAAGGCAACGTGTCACCTGTGGTTATTCTCCTGGGGCAGGAGTGGTGCTGGATAGGACGGGTCTGGCGGACTGCTGCTTTCCCCGCAGTCCTCTTGGACGGGGATTGAGTCCGAGTCTCCATTTTTTTGGCCAGGTCAGCCTTCTTTATCACTGCTGCATTATCGGAGAAAAGAGGACCAGTGACAACAGCAGAGGAGTGCAACCACAGACAGAGACAGTCGTGTTATAATACGGAAAACACCACAGAAAGCCTGTGTACGGTTCATGCATACTGAATATTAGCTATCTATTCAATAAGAAAGCCTGCATACAAAACAGTCAGATACACAGAGTGCTGTGTTTGAGGAGCAGCTGACTTGAACATTATTTAACAATGATTATTGCTTCAGTTATTGACTTTATTTTACATACGACGAAAAATAAAATTACAATAACCTTTTTTCTTCTTGAGTTCCTCTTTGGGGATGTAGGCAGGTTCTTTGCGGGTAGGTTTGCGTTCTGGAGTCGAGATTCGTCCCTTAGGCCGCCCCCCCTTAGTCTTGGCTTTAACAGGCTTTTCCTGTTTCTCTGTCTTCCACTGTTGTGCCAGTTTGTTCTGGACCACAGCAGGTTTTTTGACCGGACTAGACATCTTGGGCAAAGGCTCAGTGTGCTCCGTTACCATACTCTTATCGTCATCTGCAGTGTGGAAAATAGGGCATGAGACTTTATTCAGTTTGTGTATTTGAAGCTGACAAGAGGGAATAAAAAGAAGAACCAAAAAAGGTGATCTCACCTTGAGTGTCAACCCAGGAGCTGTCCAGAATGGAGTCATCCATTGTGGTTTCATCTCTATCATAGCTTTCTGTTGGTCCTTCTGTTTCTATGGTCTGAGCCTCCCTCTCGGGGGAGCCGGGAATTTCAGGAACATCTCCCATTTCCTCTAAACTGGCAGCCTCTATGTCCGCTTCCTGAGCCAGCTCCACAGACTCTTCTTCCTCTTCTTCTTCTTCTTTCTGGGCAGCAATGCAAACTGCTTCGGCCTCAGGTGGGGCAGAGAAACGAACGCTGTGGCCCGGCTCTTCGGCTTCATCAATGGTTTGGACCACAGTAATGAAATCATCTTCAACTGTCACCACAGACTCAATGGCAGCATGAGCCTCGGGTATTTCCTTCGTCACGTCGCCTTTGTCCTTCATCTTCTCAACCTCAGCAGGCTTTATTGCATCAGCTTCTTTTTGTCTTGCATCCACTTCAGGCTGGTCTGCAACTTTTGTGTTCATCTCTTCTTCCTTCTCACGCTCTTCCTTTTCTTTCAGCTGCCTTTCTATTGTTTCTTTCTCTTCCTTCTCTCTCAACTCCTTCTCTATTCTTTCTTTTTCCAGCCTTTCTTTCCTTTCTCTCTCCTCTTGTTCCATCTTTTCCCTCTCTTCTCTTTCTTTTCTCTCCCTTTCTTCCTTTTCCTTCTTTTCTCTCTCCTCTCTCTCTTGCTTTTCTTTCAACTCCTTTTCTTCTTTCTCTTTCTTTTCTTTCAATTCCCTCTCCTCTCTTTCTTTCTGCTCTTTTTCTTGTTTTTCTTTCAACTCTTGCTCCTCTTTCGCTTTCTTCTCTTTCTCTTGCTTTTCTTTCAACTCCCTCTCCTCTCTCTCACGCTGCTCTCTTTCTTGTTTTTCTTTCAACTCTCGCTCCTCTTTTTCTTTCTGCTCTCTCTCTTGCTTTTCTTTCAACTCCCTCTCTTCTTTCTCCAATTTCTCCCTCATCTCCTGCTCTTTCTGTTCTTTCTCCTTCCTTTCTGTTTCTTCCTTCAATATCCTCTCTGCCTCTTCTTTCTCTCTCCTTTTCTGCTCTTCCCTCTCTTCCATTTCTTGTTCTTTCTTTTCTGCCTCTTCCTTGATTTTCTTTTCTTCCTCCTCTTTAAGTTTCTTCTCGACTGCTTCTTTCTCTTGCTCTGCCTTCATTTTCTTTTCTGGATCTTCTCTCTCATCTTTGTTTATGCCTAACACAGGTGAAGCTGATCTTTTCGGGGAGCCATACATTTCTCTTTGTTTAAGTTTGGAGGGTGAGAGCACTGGGGAGAGCAGCTTGTCATCATCGATATTGCTCTCCACAGATGAGGCAGATGAAGTTTTAACAGGCCTGGCAATTCGGTCCTTGGCCACACCAGTCAGCTGGTACACATCTTCAGCATCCACTTCCTCATAGGCTTCCTGATGCACCAGCTTCACCTTCTCTCGAAGCTCCTGCAGCTCTCGCTCCTCCTCCAAACTGAGAGGCCTGTCCTCCATCTCCAGTTTCCGGATCTGCCTCTCATAGTCAGCAATCTCAGTTTCTGACGCTGAGCCTTCACCGCTGGCTTGCCGTTCAGTCTCGCTCACTGACCTCCCACCTTCCTCCAGTGTCACAGTGACAGTTGGTGTCACAAAAGGCTCACAGGGCTGAGCAAGTGGTGTCTCGCTTACAGAGGTAATCATCTGATCATCTTCTTTGTTCTTTTTATTTTCTTCAGCTGAATCTTTTCTCTCTTCTTCTTTCTGGTCTTTTTCTTCAGCTGCATCAGCAACTCCTGATGGCTGTGTCTTATCCTCCAAAGACACATCTCTGACTGCTAATTTTCTTGCCTGCTCAGCTACCTTTTCCTCCAGGACAGACGGGGTGAAGACTTGTGCAGAAGTGTCTGTAGGGCTGAACACATCTGCAGGGGACGGCATGGGCCCTGAATATTCACTAAAAACACAATAACCCATCTCTTCCAGCTGGCTGTCACTCTTTCTAGCTCCAGGACTCTGTTCCCCTGAAATTAGGCTAGCCAGTGGGTCATAATTTAAGGCAGAAGAATCAGATTGAATCGACTTCCTCCGAATGATTTCTGGGTCACTGTTTTCTGATTGCAGTCCCGAACGGTTACCAGCAAGGTCAAGCATTTCGGGCAAGTCTTGTGCCATTACTGTGCCATTTTTATATGTATTCTTGGGAGGCTCAGGGGATTCTGGAGATTCCGGTTCAGGACTAGGTTTTGGAGGCTGCTCTGCGATCCTTGGAGGAGATGAGGAGTCTGAAGTAATGGAAGCTGCCGTCTCAAGTATGAGTGGAGGGAAAGATGGTGGCTTATCTGCAGATGGTGTGGTAACTGGAAGGTAGTCTGCTGAGTCATCTAAGCTTCCACTGGTATATGACATGATATCTGTGGCCAGTGGGGAGAAGTTTCTTTGTCTACCTTGGCCACTTTGATCCATTGCTCCTATGGTGATGTTAAGTGAGTAACTCCTCTGCTCTAAGGCAAGTTTACCTGGGGAAAGCCTGCAGTCATTACTCCTGTCAGGAACTGTAAATACCCTAGTGTCTTCTGTTGTACTTTTTTTAGCTTCAGGTTTATCTTGAGCTTCAGCAAGTGTGCTGTAGCTGATCTCAGGAGAACTGGTATCATCAGTACTCTGCTTTTCACCAGCTCTACTCAGTTCGTAATAACCCTCACCTTTACTGTGAGGACCTTCACTAACCTCCATGGCTGATGTTTCAAAATAGGCTGACATCCCAGATCTGTCTTTTGTGTCACTTGTTGAGTCTCCTCCTTGAACTTTGGCTCCCACTGATGTGAAATCAGCAGGAGAGCTGATGCTGCTGAACTCTACCACCTCCACTGATGGCTGCTTCTCTGACACTGTAATCGGCTCACCATATGTAGGCTGAAGTGTGATCGATCTGACGGGTTCCTTGGCTTGACTTTGAACATCTGGGGGTACAAAGGATGGCATATCCATGGTGGGACTCTCTGGTACAACTCGTTCACCAGCAAAGAACCCTTGGATCTGGGGCTCATAAAACTCCTCTGGGCGTTTCTCTGATCCAATGCTGTCAGGGCTCATGGATCCACTGTCCTGCTTGTCTGTCTCCATCTTCAAAGCTGAAAGGATATCTGTAAGTTGGCTGTTTGATCATTACAGAAATGCATTGTTTTAGCATGCTGTGAATGAGATATCTATTAAGCCAGGGTCTGGAAAAGCTATGACAAAAACAGGCAAAGCTCTCCTCAGAAACTTACAGCACAATGGTACGGCCATCAATGAAGAAGTACGGCGAGATTACGCGGTCCACCAAGTCACAGATGGATGATAAAATGGGATGGTGGCGTGACGGAAACCAGCATGAGGCAACTGTGATGTTGCTTTATGGGAAACAAGCAATAACAGATGGGAGAAATATCCATGCTGACCTTCAAAACCATCAGATACCAAGTGAAATAACATTTCTGTCATTCAGTAAAATGAAGTGTTTAGTCAGTTTGTCAAGTTTAAAGCTTTTAATATTTAAATAGTTTTCACTATTGTGAAAAATCTAGGGTTTAAATGTTCAGATGTCAGTTTATTAGCACAATCATGGAAGAACTTTACTGGTAAATGACAGATAAATGCTATATGCTGTCACCAGCTAAAGGTGACAAAAACAACCCAAAAAAGAGAAATAATTAGGAATTAAGCTGATACAGAAATGCATTTGATGAGATGGTTTTACCAACAACTGCACCACACTGAACATGAGACAGCCAACACAAAATCCCCTGCAAACTCTGTACTCAGATTCATGATACCAATGATTTATGCACGTGTTGCAGGAATGAATCATGGCTACAAAACTGCGCACAGCACTGGCATACCAGCACTAGGCAATGTATAAACACAATGAAAAATCTGGAAGCTTATAGCAGGTGGAAAAAATAAAACCAGCAACCGTCACGATTAGCATCACTTCACTTCATCATACCACTACGAAAACGGCCGGCCCCGAAAACCACAGCAAGTAAAAGAAAATATAAGCAAAAATACACAATAAAACCAGGTTAAGTTAAAACAATGTGGCTTTTTTTCACCAACAAGCCTGTGTTGCCTTGCAGCCGCAGCAGAGCGCAGGGAGGATTACTTGCCATTCCACTTGAATTATAATGCTTATAAGTTATACATTTCCTTTGTACACATCTTGCGTTCTTATACAGTGGGCAATGCAGGAACATGCAGGCAGGGAGAGCAGAGGGCAGGACACACCTGTCTCCGGGCTCTCCTCACCCTCTGCTTCCTCCTCCTCTCTGTCCATAGAGCTCTCTGCAGTAGCACTAGCTGCCTCAGCCGGCTCCAGGTCTAGATCCTGGGCCTCGTCTATGGCCTCTGCCTGCTCTAAGGGCTCAGCTTGGGGGCTGTCCAGCTCGGGCTCTTCCCCACTCCACTGCTGCTCATCAAGAGCTGCCTCGGACTCTGCTGCCTCTGCACTCTCCTCCTCATCTTCCACCTCCTCCTCGTATTCAGCTGTAAGAGCCTCCATGGTCTCTTCTTCCCGAGAACAGGGTGAAAGGGGGACACATTAAGACTACAGGCAACACAGACTTGGGTTATGTGCGAACACAACTTATGACGGGACACTTTCAGCTCTAGGGAAAGATGGCCTAAAATATTTATTTGTTCACACATATATGTACATTACACATACAGTACAGACTGCTGTTATTTATGCATTTTTTGTTTTCTTTTTATCATATTAGAAGAATATGTTTTTTCCCCCCAAATAGCTGTCTTTTTAAAATATTTTTTCCAGTCCATAAGCAAATCCTTAACAGATACTGACCTTTGATCTTTTACGACTAAGGTCAGTTGTTTAGTGGTAAAGATAACAGGAAACAACACTTCATGGCTTTACACTGCATGGACAGGATACTATATATGCAAGTAAATGAAGGAACATTGTATTCATTTGAGTGAAAGGAGAGTTAGCTGCAGATCCACCGTGACAATGTCGCATCTTTCTAAGGATTTGCAGCTGATCGTACAAAGTGGTTGCTAATAGTCATTAAATATGATCATTTACATTAGTTTACACTAACTAGAAGTTAATAAATGTCTTCAGTATTACACAAATGTTAAGTTCAGCTGAGATCTGTGATTCCAAACAACGACAGTAAAATATGTCCTGTAAGATAACTTCTGAATCCCTAAGCTATGGGAGTCAAGAGTTCTGGCTTTTCATTTCATTTTAATTTAATATCTCTGGAGAAAGAACTTTCTTTCCTGCACTCTTTTGAGCAAGAAAAAAAAAATCAGCAGCATCAGGAAAGTTTAATAACTGAGACAAGTTGAATCGGTTCGAGATGGGCTCTTGGTTTCTCTATATTACTTTTTTTGTATATTACTGGATAGGGATTTGGATTCTGCCATTAGATTTCCAAAGATTTATTATGCTATTTTTACAGCACCTTCACAGCATTACAGTCATACTAGACTTTACACTTATTTTGTGCTGAATGACTGACAAACTTGTTAAAAAATGCCAAAAAAACCATGAAAAATCAGCTGATTATTTTTAGATTGGTTTGCTTTTTTAAAAGGTTATTTATTATGCTTACTGATGACCCCGAATAACAAGAACAAATGAATGGAATGATTTTTTTTATAACAGAGTTGATAATGGGTGTTTATTAAAAAGGCAGAAGGGCCTCATAAGACTGCATGTGCATGACGTCCACATTTCTGAACCACAAATGTGGGTGAATATGTCTGAGCTGAAAGTCTTCCTTGTTGCCACAGTGAGAGTGTAAAGGTAGGTACGGATGAGTGTAGAGGGTCTGACATAGCACAGTATGGTTTAGGGGATGAGAAGTAGTCTGGAGAAAAGAACCAAAATACATCTCTGGGTCTCCAAGACATCTATGAAAGGCTTATGGTCATGTTCCACAAGTCGGACTTGCACGATGGTCTGACTGATGAGCGAATGGCAATAAAACACTGTTATTTATATAACTACTTTGAACCGTCACTACTATGTGTTAGAGTTAAAAGCATGGCAAACACGGATAGCAATGGGCTTGGGTAAAAGAAATTTAAAACAGAAGAGAAATATGGCTGTTAAATTAATATGCTGTTTTGATTGAATAACCAACACAAGGACACACAAACGCACACAAAGACAGACGAAGAGACGAGCTGACGGACGGAGAGACGGAAAGACGAAAGGAGAGAGGAATGGGGGAAGGGAGTCAAATCACAAGAGAAGAGAGGAAAGAAAGAGAAAGGAGATGGAGGGAGGGGGGATGGCAAAGAGGAACCATGCGTGGTTCACCTTCAATCTGTCTAAAGGCCACGGCTTGCCCTGTGGGGCGAGAGCCCGAGTGCGTCCACTCTGGGCTGAACAATGGGTGCTCATAGTACTCCTCTTCGGAGTGGTAGGGGTCGTCCTCGGGCACGGAAACTGAGATGGAGGGGGCGAGGAACTTGCACCTCTCACGAGAATTTTGGAAGCGGCGGAGAGGGCCCGCCTCCTCCTCATCCCCTACATCTACAAACAAGACAGACACAAGGAGAAGAACTGCAGGGAAATCTGGACACGCAGACTGAAAGAGAGAGTGAAAAGGATGGAGAAAAAAAGATAAAGGAAAAGGGAGAAGAAAGCAAAAAACTGGAAAAAAACCCACCAAAGAATGGCCATCTTAAAAGTGACTTAACATGCAATTAAAGATTTTTTTTCTATAAGGAGCTTTGGTCCAAACTTTTTCCATTTGGTCTTGACTTTATTATTTCATCAGCCAGTTCAACTGAACAGCAGTCACTTTGCACATGTAACTTTTTGAGACTGGTCAAACGGCAGAATTAAACTTTATAGATATGACCAGGAAAATATATTCTGCATTTATTGTATCGTTATTGATTTAGCTACTACTGATACTAGACTGAACAGAACTGAAAGCAGAACAAATATGGGCCCAGCTATGGTCCTTTAACTTTTATGAAATGCTAAGTAACCAGCAAGTTCAAAACAATTTTTGCCTGACTATTTAAGATGGACATTTTTTGCAGTGAAAAGAGAGATAAAGCTTGAAGAGAAACCGACAAAAGAAACAGAAAGAGTCAGCAGAGAGGGGAATGCCAAAGAAGAAGAAGAGAAAACTTGTTTGAGAGCAAGAGAGACGTAACACACAGAGGACAATGACAAACAGACAGTGACAAGCAACTCAAGATAACAAAGCTTTGGGGGCCAGCCATTCTTTGAGAGCAACAAAACGGGCATATTGTATCATTTGTGAAAGATATCTGCTTCACATATGAATGATTCAACCAAAAATAAAATACATACAACATTAAAAATAAACAGCTACAACAGTTATAGCACTAATACAGCAGAAGTCGCTAACAAACCTGTAATGTTTTGTGGGGGTTTTAAAAGCCACAGTGAGAACAAACCTCAACACTAATACAAACTACTCAGTCCTGTAAAACACTCCACCTACAGTAAGGAACCTACATCCCAACAGCTTTACAGCTGTTTGTCATGAGCACACAACACATAACAACACATGTCACAAGGCTTTGCAGCTCCTAACCTTATTTCTTTTAGTTTTAGTTTTATAGCCCAGTCACTGCTTAAAAAATTCGATCAAACATAAATAATCAAACTTTATCACAGCTCTAACTGGGATGTTCAAAATCACAGGATAAATCTACACTGTGTGATTCAGAAAATGTAAATTAAATATAAAGTATTTTATGTGTGCAAACGGCATTCATCATCTTCCAGTCTCAAGAGGCAAGCTATACTAAATTATGTAACTAGATTGCATTTCTACATTGGGAGGGGCTTTTTTAATACCCAATTTATTGGCTTTTCTACACCTTGCTGCAGCTTTCTTAGTCCTTAAATGTATAATTTGTATAAACAGAGCTAGATCTCTGTCACCTATAGCCACAGCCAAAGACACAGGGTACAATGACCAAAAAACGCAACACAATGATTAGACAGGCAAAACTGAAGACATAACTCAAGTAAAATCACAAACAACAAGAAATCAGAGGGTTACCTAAATTGGCTGTCATATTAGTGTGTAGAAGACAGTGAAATGAAGAGGTTAGAAAAGGAAATGGATGGAAAGGATGACAAAAAGAGTGCACTTAGTAGAGGTGGAGTGTTCATGCATGTTACTGCGTCTTTGTCAGGATAAATGGGGATCATAATGAAGATATTCATTTTATCTGTTTCAGGCATACAATGATGACACATATGCAGTATTCCAAAAGAAATGGATGACAGGAAAAAAGGAGAAGATGTTTCTGCTTATAGCAGCTTAAGTAGATTTTCTGAACGTTTATCAACGTGTGGTTCATGCCCTTTAGGCAGGGCGTGTCCGGAGAGGTGGGGCACTTCCAGTGCAAGCATACACCAAGACCCAAGTCTTGGTGGTCATAAAGCATCAGAAGCCACAGTCAAAAGAAGAAGTCTCTCTCTTTAAGAGACATACCGAGTATGTATTTATATTCTTGGCCTACCTTGTTCTAGAGGTCCAAAGTGCTCTGCAGCAGGTGAGGGGGGAGGCGAGGGAGGCAAATTGGTGGTGTCTTCAACTAGAAAGTGTGACAGAGATAAAAGACTGAAGTTATTAAAAAAAATAAATCACATATTATAAAGGATACTTTCCACTAGCAGAAAACACTTCTTGCAAGGTAACATGCCAAGCATATATATGTATAGCAAGGTATTGCAAGGCTGAAAACTGCTAATTTCCATTTTCACATGCATTTTTACAAGCAAAAAAAAAAAAAAAAAGAGTAAAACATGGAGTACAGGTGCAGAATCCTGTAAAAAAGTGCTGTGAATAAGCAATAGCTTTGTATTTTTCTGTTTAAATAGCAGAAAAAGAAAGGCACTGCTAAATATGAACTCTGGCCATCCAATCGGTACCACATCTGGCAGCCAAACAGGATTGCTGTCCAACCATTGCTTAAATCATCAGTTAATACCAGTGAGTGCATATTCCCTGTTATTTTTAGTTTCAGTGTCAGTTGCTCACAGTTTTCACTGCAGCAGTAATTAGAAACAATTTAGTCTTTTTTTTTTTTTTAAATCACAGTTATAAACTGCACAGATCATATATCCTTTCTGTACATATACACAGGCACATTACACTATGCTTATGCACATTTTACTCCTGTTATGGGTATTATATATGTGGCTGTTCCCTGCTTGATTCTGTTGCCAAAGACGGGGGTCAGACAGTAAGAAACAGGCTAGGCAACGTGGGAGTTGAAAGTGACTAATTAAAGGATGGAGGTATGAGCTACTCTTGTTACTACAGGTACACTGTTCCATGTAAATGTTTGACAACCAGAAGCCTGGTTTTCAAGTGTGCAGGTTATGAGACTAATTAAACAAAATATACAACTGGTCTACTGTTTAGAAAGAACTACTAGAGTTGCTGAGGGAAAATACAGACATTTCTGTGTCTCCAACATATTCTCTTTTGCTGCAACATGTTTTTAACGTTCTTCAATTAGCGAGTCTTTTCAGGTTAGTAACAGTCTGCTATATTGCTCCACTGTTCACTTATTAAAAAAAAAAACAGGTATAACAATAGGACTAAAGATTAATAATTTCAGCTGTCTAGCAGATGGATTAGGTGCTCCGACTCCTGAAATGCTGCTTTTAGGGATCTGGAGACATGTCCTCTGTACCCAGGGCCAGGTCCCATGTGAACAGGGGCCTGCATATTATAGTTTTCCAATTGCTACTGCTCTCTAGCACCATTAAAGAACATATGTGCATTTTTATAGCTCACCTGATGGCAGTCTTTGAGTCTCCTGCTCTCCCTTCAGTACTGCCACTGCCTCTGCTGTCACTTCCTGTACAATCCGGGCTGACACTTGCTCTACCCAGACACAGACATACAAGGTCAATGCAATATTATTAAACATGTTTCAACCAGACTAATTCTCTGTCCATTTTGCTTTACAGTAGCTCTTTCATGTCACTCAAAATGTGAGACGAAAGGCAGCATGAGGGGGCTGAGATTGTCTTCATAACACCATGTCTGCTAGTGAAGGCTGCAAGTGTCACCATGGGAACACAACATCCCATGCAGACACAAAGTATGAAAAAATACCTGTAATACTTTCTCTATTTTCATCACGACAAAGGAAATTTTACATTTCAATAACACACAGTAACATTTATAAAAATACTGCCAAACCTAAAAGTAACATAAAGAATAAAGAATGCAACAGCTTTTTACATAGAAATACAAGAATGATACCGCAATGTGTAATACTGTCAGTTGTTTACTATTGTTTTTGATTTTTTTTAATGAATGATCAAATGTGAGCTGAATCCAGTTCCGTCGGCGCAGACTTTTTTGTAATTTAACTATCAATCTGAATTCATTTCATTATCCAGGAAAGAGTGCTGTCTCAAGATGCAGTTCAAAGATGGACCCAACTGCAGGCCAGCACAAAAAAAGTGAGCTTTATTTCTAAGCTGGTAAAACAGTCCAGAATGAAAGCAAATACGGAACTGATTAAACCAAGAATATAAAAAACCTGACAAAAAGCAGGAACAGGAAGAGAATGACAAAGAGAGAGGTACACAGAGGACTAACTGGGAATAGGAAACAGAACTTAATCAACACAATAAACAGACAGAAAGTGAAACAGCGGACATGAGAGGAAAATGAGCCACAAGAATAAAAGATAAATGAACAAACTGGCAGCAGGAGGACTGAAAGGAGATAGGGAAACACTGAGGGAGCTAAACACAGGTAACAAACTCAAACTAGGAACTAAAGCTGAATGAAAAGCAACAGTAGAGCAAACCATTATCCTAAACAGTATTCAGATCCCATAACAACGCACTCCAACACTAAAAATTAACTAGACCTGGAAGGATAAAGATACTGGAAATACAATAAAATCACAACAGGAAACTAACAATAATCAAAAACTTTGAACATTAGAACACCAATGAAACCAAACAGTAAATATTTAATTTAAAAAAAACAATCCAAAAGCTCCAAAAATGTGGCCAAACCCAAGGAGAGTTTGTCATGGCCAGGTGCTGAAGCACAAGGCAGTTTGGTACTGTTTGGTATTTATATATCAGAAAGCCCAGCAACAATTTTGCTTTAGGGTCCATTAGCAAAATTAGTTCCTGATAATATAATGTCAGATTGGGTTTATTGCAAATTTAGATAAACTCTCTGCAATTCTTTTTTTTTCTTTTTACCAGCTATACAGTAAAGTAAGAAATAAAAACAATGTTAGATGGTAATACTAGTGTTAGCATTTAGCAAGAAGCTGTCAACACAATATGCCCGTCTAACACTTGTAGGCAGTAGGTGTTAAATAACTACAGTATAACAGGAAAAGCCAGCGTGCACACAGTTTTCAATTGTAACAAAGGGAGTAAGTCTGTGACAGTTATGTACTCATGCGCTAATATAGTGTTATCCTAAATCAGGACACACACAAAAGGGCACCATACGAAACTGGTCAAGCAGTCTGCATTCAAGCTTTCATCAGTCTGCCTGCATGCATGTACGAATCAGAGAGGACGGCAGAGTTTTAAACAAAACCATCATTTCTATAGTAACAGCAGTTATGTATGGCTGGATGGCATTGTGATGTTTTTTTACTGTTGCCGTTTAAGAACCTTTTTCTTTCCAGCATCACCCACACATCAACACACACAAGCTGGCAGGGACACACACACGCACACACGCGCAATAACCCACATACATTCACTTCTTCCGGGAACACTTAACACAGCCCACTCACCAACTCGAAGCCACCATTTCCCATTTTCAATAGCAAAGTGCAATAAATGTGTACCACCTTTTTCACTGCTTCCAGGCAAAATCCTTTCATCTGATACTAAAAAGTAGAAGAGAGGCGTCCTCGTCAAACCTGCTCAATGGTTGTAACATCAAATAACAGCCCCTAAAGCTAAAAACGGGCATTAAAAGAAAAGCCTGTACATTTTTGTGAATGGTTTAGAACCACACTGCCTTTGTGTCATTTTTTCTTTTTCCTACATTAACAATTGCAAAGATGATTTTAACACTGAGAACGACATATTTTATTCAAACTAATGCTTGGCACAAAATTCCAGTTACGTTCATGTAAGCCACTTACAAATGTCCTTACAAAGTTTCTGAAGCAAGCATAGGGATCTACTGAAGATAGTGCAACTATTACAGAATAGGGAAGTAGCTTAATTGCACAATTGCAAGATTCAAATGAAAACTAAAAAATATGGAAATGTCAACTTGACTACTAGAGCAGTATGGAATTTATGTGTAAAAAACAACAACCACTTTTTGGGAAATTGTGAATTTTGTGTGTGTGTGTGTGCGCGTGTGCGCGTGCGCGTGTGTGTGTGTGAGTGACAAACAAATCTAGACAAATGCACAATGACAAAGCATTAGCAATGCAAAAAAACCCAACCTTGTCACATCCATAAAGCCAGCTGGCACTGATGAAAACTAGCCTTGTATGGCTGTCTCAGCATTCTCTGATGAAGTGATGTCAAATGACAGCCTGTCTGTCACTGGCTGTGACAGCAGAATCTATCTTACTACACCACTAAACAAAAGTAACACGATACGTATAAACAGACCTGCTCTCACTGTAAAAGAAAAGCATGCATTACCTGTATGACAGGCGACCGAACCTCTGAATGCTCCCTCTTTGAGCAGAGACTGTGACTGGAAGCCCCAAAGTCGACGCAAGGCACAAACAGTGCACCACACAGAGGCACACACACACACACGCACACACACACACACACACACACACACACACACACACACACACACACACACAGGGCACAGAGAGAGCAGGACTGATGTTTGGCATGATACCAGCAGGCACCCAAAATGTGTAAAGCAAGTGGTTGTCATAGCAACAGACCAGTGGGCCATTGACTTGGGTCCATACGTAATTCAGATGCGAGCATCCTGTCATTCGGTTTCAACCTCCATGTCTAAAGCTACCAATCAAAAGAAACGATGACTTATTTCCTTTTTTTTGACACATGATGCAAGTCTGAGCAATTTCTATTTTTAAATCATCTGATGAAGTAAAATAAATGTTAATTGTTTTCATTTTCTCAATGAAATCGCAGTGGAACAAATTGTTTTGTTTGTAGCTATAAAGAACAGATATTTGAACAATTTCTTTCAAAACAAAGGTTAAATTAAACCCCTGTTTTCATAGTGGTGATTACCTTAAAGTATGTAATATAGTTAAGTAAGCCAGGAGTGACAGCTAACAGCTAACTGTCACGGACCCGGCTCTGGAGGACTCGGGGGTCCGTGAGCAGGATGGACCGTTATTATCATTATTATTGTTATTAGTATTATTATTATTGTTTTTATTATTATTATTAGTGTTGTTGTTGTTATTTGGGGGTGTGTGTCTTTCTGCACTGTGCTGTGTTGTTCTGTGTTCCACTCATTATATGTAGAGGCAGGGTGTGGGTGTGTGGGTGTGTACAAGTGTGGCTGGAGGATGGAGAACAGCCACATGCGGGCCTGATGGGTGTGGCCCGGGGGGAGGACTGGCCACACCTGAAGTTCCTACCACACACCTGTTGGTGATCAGGGCTCGTCGGGGGAGCTACTTAGGAGAGTGTTGGAGCTCCCACCAGTGCGGGTTCATTGAGTTATCCTACCAGGAGAAAGAGTGGTCCAGAAAGGCTGCACGCACGGGGTGTGCGGAAACACAAGAGCGGGGAGCACGAGCACAGACGTCGGAGGGAAGCACACTAGGGTTGCCAACTCCCTGAAAAATAAATAAGGGACACCTCGTGGCCAGGGCCGGGCGACCCAGTTGTCTTCACCCTTCCCAGTGTGGTGAATTTTCTAGCTCTTTTTTTGTGTGTGAAATTATTTTTTTAACCATTTGACTTGAAGTTGATTTAAGTAGATGCATATTCTATTCTTTGTGATATGAACACATGTGAAACAAATGATCATTTAGCCATTTATTTTTAGCTCAAAATGACAACATTAACACAGTAAAACAGGTCTCCTTCTTAAACAGAAGCCTGTCATGCTTAACTTTTGAGAATATAAGTAAATCTTTCTTTAAAAGCACTCTGTCCTGCTTAACTTAAAATAATAGAAAACAATAGAAAGAAAAATATTCTTGTAACAGTGCACATTTAGTGCATTTAGTACAATTGGCTTCAGTTGAGGTATTATTTCAGCTTTTCTAATGCTAATCAGCTGCTCCTGTTTGTAAACCCGCTTGTTCCCATAATTACGCATCATAACTCATCATCATTATTCATCTATGTATTACTTTTATGTATTAGTCATCAATTTGTTGTAATCATCTATCCTTGCAGTTGTTTATTACACAAAATAAATTATATTATCACACTTCTGGCCACATAGCGCTGATATTCACTGCACATGCCCATATTAACGTTTTCCAGCCAGGTGTTTTCCTTTTCCCATTCTTCCCTTTCTCTGAGGGGAACAAACATTGCTGCTCTAATGCTGGGCTTACACTGTGCGGTTTTAGGCCCATTTTGAGCCGATTTTTGAGTGATCGGACCGATTTTGGCCTTCATCGTGCGTCGTGTAGTATACGTGGGGTAAAGAGAAGTGATTAACACCTCACGACCAGCTCCCGATCATCAATCGCTCGTGAGGTTCTCACCACAGCCGCTCACACTGCTCACGCGCAAACGTAAACGTTGGTGAAAAAGACGGCGCAGCACGGCTGTGCAGCGTGTGATCTGGACACAAGCGATGGAGGCACAACTTGTAGAACTTTGGAAAGCTCATCCGAGCCTTTTCGATGTGGCATCACAAAATTATCACAACCACAACAACCGTGAAAATAGTTGGATTTACACTGCTGCTCA